AGAAATGACGACGTGCCAAACCGTAACGACATCTAGCGGATAGTTTTTGAACTATGAATTTCGTATTGACGATCGCATATTAGGGTGATTTGGTTAAAAGGGATTGTGAGAATTATAAGGTTTAACCCTAAGAATTTGTAAAGTTTTTGTTCGTAAATATTTCACACAGCATGCCATTCCCTTGCGATTGGGGCTCAGCCCACTCTGAAATTGTCTGAGCCCACTCTCAAATTTTGAGGGTAAACAAATGTAAAAATTGATATTTTTGTAAACGCACTTTTAAAAAAATTTCGCTCGCTTCGATCGCGTTTGATTATTTCCTTATTGTGTATTGATAAAATTTTTGAATCGAGTATAAGAACTCCTACATGCAATGGGACAGTCCCATTTTTTAAATCAAAAATGAGAACCCTGATGGGACTTGGTAACTTTGCTGTTTTAAAAACTTCAAATCACAATTCCACACGAGAACGAACTTATTTTCGTCAAAGAATATTTTGACAATTATAAAGCCATTAGTCAAAGACTAAAATTTTGACTATCTTGAAGCGATATCACATTTGAAAAGTTCACCTGAGACAGACACTTGTTAAATGTTGGAGGCCGCTGAAAGGTTTTGTTGTTCGACGTCATGTGTAAGTATTCGTTTTCAACGCTTAATCGAATTGTCATTCCGACTCGAATGGTTGAAATATATTGATAATATGGAAATTCTTAAAGAATTCAATTCGCTCAAAAAACCATCGTGTGCAAACTAATATATAAACATAAATACATAAAAAATGTGGTTTTTGTGGTTTATGTATTGATTTAATTTTAAAAAAAATGAACGAAAGCTCAGCCCACTCTGAATTTTGAACCACGCTACGGCGCTGGTTGAATTGGAGACAAAAATACTTCCTTGAAAAAATACGAATGATTAGGTTTAAATTAAATGCTAATTTTTCGATTGTTGATGGAAGGTGAAAGAATTTCTTATTGTTTTGATGTGGCATTTGTTGGAAAATTTTTAATGCAACCGCTGAAAATTGTTGTACTGGTTTCCCTGTCCCACACAAAATACATGAACGGATGTTCAGCTCTGAAAACTCCTGTACCACTTAATGCTCTTGAAGCGGAACCTTGGGAGAAAGTTGTGGAATATTGAAGAATCGTCAAACAATGTTATTAACTACTACTGCAACGAAACTCATACAATGAAAATTCACAAGATATTTGAAGCAAAACGTTGTATTGGTAGCACGTTTGTTTCTCAAAACCACGAGCATAATATTTTTTACGCGATCAGTGCAAACATATTAGGTGTTCACATCATAATTGACTCAAGTGTGTCAAAATGCTACATAAGTAGCTTAAACTATTTTGTATTTGATAACCTTTATGTCTCTGGAACGCATTTTGTATCAAATTTTATCATTATCATCTCATTTAGATGAGTTTCATTGCAAGAAAAATAAGTTTCTCAAATTTCACCTGTTGCAGCAGCGGCTTCAATGAGTTTTTCATTAATTTCAATGGTAGCTTGATGAACAACTTGGCTCACAAACAATGGCTCTCTCGTGTTTAAAAGACCACTTAAATTCGCCCACGGTTCAAACATTTCATTAATGCCCATCTAAATAAATAGTAATCTTAGTAATAGGAATTGACTGAAATTCGGTGAACACATACATTTTTCAAAATTTCATTGAGACGAAATTTAGTTTTGACCTTGAATTTCGGAATTTCAACTCTATATGTTATGAATTTCATTTGTTCAACAATTTTTGATAAATTAATTTTCTGTAATTGCGCTTCTAACGTAGATAATCCGGTACGTTTGTTTGGTAGAATAATAATGAATGAATAATTCGACTTTAAATAGTCAAGTCTCAATGCAGCGATATCTAATTCATGTAATTCAGCAATCCAGACTTCTTTACTCATTTTCATGAATTTTGCCTCAACCGTCTCGGTTTCACTGATGTAAAACTTTTCTATCATATCATAGAATTGACCATCTCTTTTGCGTTGTGGAAATGGTTGGAGCCAGATGCTCTTTAAGTAGATTGCATTTACCAAAACAAATCGAGTATCTGCAGTCAACATCTCATCATCAATAATTTGTTTGATTTTTCCCTTTGTTTTCTCTTCTATGAAATTATTGATCAGTTGTAACGTGTCATTTTTATTAACAAAATCTACCGATTCAATGCCTGCATCAAATTCATCTGTAGCCACTTTTTGAAAATTTTGATTCAGTTGAACTCTTTCTTCCACATAGATTTGATTTGTAATCATCAGTTCCGATTGACCAGCACTTCTTTTAATTAATTCAATGTACTTTCGAAATTGATCGGCTACAATAGATTTTTCACCATTCAAATACAAATGTTTTCTCAATTGTTCATAAGTCGTGCCATTGGCTGCTTGAGAAAGTAGAGTTAGCGATGTTCCAACTGAAAATGGTGAAATTACCAAATTTCCAGATTCAAATTGGGAGCATTGCTATATTGATGACATTTATTAAAATTTGTGTGCTACATTTAATGTTTATTAAAATGAAAGTTCACCTGATACAAGTCAACGCCAAACTTATAAAATCCACTGCTCATGCCTTCATTTTGAACGTCTGCAGCTATTGCTGTCGAACTCAATATTATAAGCAATACAATATTGAATGGAAACATTGTGAACAAAAAGAATAGGAATTATAACTTATTACAGAAGAAAAATATGTTTCGCTAAGAAAGTACACAAACGTATCGCTAAATCATTTGAAAACAACTAAAGTGAAGATAATTTGGTACTTCACGTTTTGGAAGCAATGATCAATTG